AGAATGAAAAAACAAAACAAAAAAAAAAAAAAAAAAAAAAATCGAATGTATATAATATATATTTGATATATGCTTTAGGATGTTCACTGACTGCTGTTCAGACAAATGGGACGTTCAACACGTTTTGTATTTTGACAAAAGGTGACATGTATACATGAGTGCAAGCCTGGCAATATTACCAATACAAGCCTGATCAAGATGTTTATGCATAAATATACTGTGATATAGTAACAGGACTTTGTTAAACGTATAAACTAAATAAATATGGCAAGAAGACAAGACATGACAAAACAACAATCTGACGACATACCACAGATATATAGTAAGAATAGGAAAGGGAGATTTTTTTTTTTTTTTTTTAATTGCGTAATTACATGACTTTTATGCAGCACATGGCGTGACATTATTACCGATACTCGACACACGTTGACCCAACTACTTAATCATTTATTTTTATTAGGTAGAACATCCATACATAAAAAAAGACTCTCAAAATCTAATTTATAAATTTTTTGTATAAATGGAAACAAAAGTAATGAGTCAATCAACGTGAGTCGAATAGCGGATCAAAGAACGAAAACAAGGAAAATTGACAGGTATGACGATCAACAAGCAAAAATGACTTATTATCAAACATAACAATTCACGTATTGTAATGTAAGAGTGAAAGGAAAGGGATACAGCAAACACAAGTATGAAACGGAACAGTAGTAACGCACGTAAATCGAAAAGAAAAAAAACAGTGGCATCATCTCATTGTTACGAATATTGTGAAGGTTCTGGGAATAAAAATTATTGGGAAAAGTATTTTTTGCATATTGTTTAAAAGATTTCTCGATTGACGCTTATTACTCGTATACTGTAAATCCAAGTGTGTTATCCAATACAAAGTTACTCATTCGAGGGTGCAATTAACAATTTGTAGTACTCAAAACTAATGAAATTTTTTTGTCTCAAGACTTTTTGTATTGTAAAAACTGAGGTTCAAACAGTGATAGAAAAATGTTTGGACAGTATTAGAACGGTAATCATGTTGTTTTACAGTAAAAAGACATTTATGCATTTCCACTAAATTAACAGATTTTTCTATAGAGTGCAGAATAATGGTCTTATACATGACTGACGAGAAAATCAATAAAAAAAACTTGAGAAATATTCAGCTGAATGGGGGTAGAGTAATTTTTCTTGATTAAAAGAATGAGGTCTCGCAGTGTAGATTTCGTAAAAATTGTCTTGGAGCAACACACTTGGGCTCCCATAGTATACGAGCGATGATCCGAATGGAAAAACATTCCCTTGGAGCGTGGGGGTACCGAGATGATGTGCGGGGAAAAATGGGCAGGAGGATAAGATGAGAAAACAAAAAAATAAAAACCGAGAGAAATCGGGGCAAACAGAGAGAAATAATAAACGATAAGTGCATAGGGTGGATAAACCTCTTGTGCGAGTCGTTGAAGGCGCGGTGTTGGAGGCAAAAAGAGAGAGAGAGAGAGACAGATTTATAGAGGGTGGATTGAGACGTGAGAGCGCCAGCGTGCGTGCGTGCGTGCGAGCAGCGTGCGTGTGTGTGGGTGTGGATGTGTTTGTGTGGGCGTGTGTTTATGTGTGTCACAATATAAATGCGTGAGAGAGCCACAGGGATGAAACAAAAATAAGAGACACGTACAAATAGAAAGTAAAAAATATATATATATACATAACGTATAATAATAATATTAATAATAATAATAATAATAATAATAAAATGAGAAACGAGCGACGAGCAAAAATTGATGATTTGGTTATGAAAAAAAGTAATTAACTGCAGTTTCAATTGATGCTGAATAAAAACGATTAGCGAAAGAGATAGAGATAGAGTTAGAGAGAGAGAGAGAGAGAGAGAGAGCAGAGCTGCAACTTACCGCGGCTTAAAGGAACTCCAGAACGCACTACGTGTGAGAGAAAAACCAACGAGAAGAAGGGCGTTACCACGGTCACATGACTCACGTTAGCGAGCCCGAGCGATTCTGCCGATTGACCCGGGGACCAACCGATTTACCGATCGTCATCGCCTCTGTCTGATGTAATAACAACACCGGAGTCGAGGTGATGCCGCAAAACAATTATTTATAATGCGTGTGGTGTTGTTGTTCACGAGTAAATGAGGAAAAAGGTGTGTAGGCGTCAGGTGGCAGATTCGCTTGGGCTCAAAAAAATACAGAAACATTAGACGTAGACAGCACACGCACACGTACACCCACAAGCGCACACTTAAGTAGTTTACAAAAATCACTCGGCCATTCGCGCCCTGCTCGTCTCAGACACGCACGCACACACGCATGAACGCACCCACTCACGGACTCGACCAACACATAGAGAGACTGTGGTACTTTTGACGTGTATGACGGACACAAGTTGGATACTGCACAATTAGGTATACACACATTGACTGGGAGAGTGAGAGTGTGAGGGTGAGAGCGAGACAGAGAGAAAGAAAAGCTTCTTCTCCTCTTTTATTATTCATACTGTTTCAAGCCTTTTTTCTTTTTTTTCCTTTTTCTTGTTTTTCAGGCTTTTTCTTTCATTATATATATGGCTATTGTTTTTCTTTTTCCACTTCTTCTTTTGTTTGCCTTTTAAGCTCTCTTATTCACGGGCACAGGTACAACACTCAACGATTATGGAAATGAAAGAGGCTCTATGACTGATTCACTTGGAAATTAATCTTAGTTTTTTGTTAATCGGTATGGCAAAACAAATACATACATGTACAAAATGAAAATGGAACGGCAGGGTTGACTAGGAATCAATGAAGTTTTTTTTTTTTTTTTTTTTTTTTAACTACGTTTTCCGCCTAATAAGAGGTAAGTACCATAAACGCAGTGGCGACCGGACAACACGAGTATAAGTAACACAATTTTTGCATAATCCGTGATACTCGCGATATAATATACCGTCTGAGGCGATGTACGTTTTGAGATGACTTTTCTGGACGTATGGTGTACACATTTTTTGCAACCTTTCCTAAATGTCTGCGCAGGGGTTCACTAGTGGTTTAATTTATGTAAAGAAACCAAATGTTTGCATGCAAGCCACCACCACTGATACATAAATTTGAGCGCAGCAATAAATTTTATTTTCTATTTTTGTTCTAATATCTATTTGCTATTTTTTACATTTTTTGTGGAATATTTAGATTTTGTTGTAGAATGTAACAAATATAAAACACAATATTGATTGCACTTTGGTGACTACAAATTAATATTTGTCCTCATTAAAAAACTATTTAAACTCAATAATTGACCTGAGAACGAATAAATGTACTTGATTTTTCGACTACTAAAATTTATTTGAAATATTTACTTTTCTTGAAATAAGGGAACAAGCTCTTACAAATTACTGCGAGATTTTTTGCACTTTGAATTCATTCAGTAAAAACAAAAAAAAATCACTTCGGAGTATTCACTTGGATGGATAAATTTTTTTCTCCAAGCAGTGAAATTTCAGGACAAACGTATATTCTACCATCTTAAATTGACTAAATTCGTAAATAAAAAACATGCAGTAGATGAATTAATGTGGCACACATGAGTTTTTCGAAGCGTTTAATCAAGTGTCGCATGACTATAAAAAGTAAAACGTTAAAGCAATAGGATTTGAAACCCTTAAGCAGACAATTGGAAAAAAGTTGGGAAAAAAACGTGTATATTAGTGCACCGAATGCTACCGAAGAAGTAGTAACTAAGACTTTCACGGCCACGGCGTAAGTAAGTAAACGGGACTAGCACGAAAAATCACCACGCGTATAATAACCCCTTAAAATTTCCAATCAACACCAAGTATATAATATGTGTAGTGGTGGTGGTATGTGTTGGCGCGTTGTATCAGCGATGCTACCGTGCTTCAAATAAAATCGTTAAACAAGCGCGGCTTCTACAAAAAAATGATCGCTCGGCTAAGCTCACAAAAGCCAGCTATATGCGTGTATGTACTATAATAATATATAGAGAGAAAGACAGAGCAAAAGAGAGAGAGAGAAAAAGAGAAATACAGAGAAAGCACGGTAAAAGTCATCTCGGTTACAGGCTGAAGGTGGTGTGTGTATGACGTATTGAACTCGCACACTCAAGGATTAATGTATGAACAAAGTTTGTGTGGAAAAGCGGAGAAAATTCAGGTGCGCCTTGGTTGGACCGAATCGCGTAACTCGACGGGGTGGTGGGCGCACTCTGCGAATTTCGGGTCGCGAGGCCGGAGTGGCCAAATCGCGCGCTGAGGTACGAACAGCAAAAAGCCTGTGCACCGAGTAAGAGGGAAAAAGCTCACGACAGCAGATTTCAAACTTGTGTCAGTCATACGACGTTATGCGGCACGACGACGGTGGTATAATATAATTATATGTTACACATAAGAGAGGCCCGTGGGCTGGCCGGCCGAATCGCGAAGTATACACATATACAATATAATAGGTATACTCTATATTTTACTGCCCCATATTCGCGAATCTCTCTTCTTGTGTGTTTGTTAGTGCTCTGTCGTCGCCTAAATTTATTACATCGAGTCGAGCCCGCAAGTTCGTTTCATACACGGTGTAATCCTCTGATCGCCTGTGTGGCGCCACGCCGGCTGGCAAAACTCTGCGGGCCCGCAGTGGCAATATCACGATTCGGCCGGCACAGCTATACGACCCTTTTTTACTACCTAGTTATCCATTTTTTTTTTGTTTTTTTTTTTTTTTTGTTGCTCACAGCAACCTCGTTAGTTTATCATGTAACGGACTACTCTTTTTATTTTCCTCTCGCTTTTGTTTTGCATGATTTCCGGCCTGCGAAAGGCTTCTTCTTTCAGAGAGATAGCCACAGGGATGAAACAAAAATAAGAGACACGTACAAATAGAAAGTAAAAAATATAAAAAAAAAAAAAATTCCTGCTCATCATTATTTTGTCAGTTTTGAAGGTACGAAACGCCGTACTTTGTGCATCGACAAAAATAACTGCAGGATTTCTTATAAAATGTCTGAAAAAAGAAGTACACATGGAGTACCGCGCAATCATCGATTGCCTATCGAGTCGTGAAAATTATCCAGACCAAACGTCTCTTGGCACCAAAATGAAAATTTACTTTGTAAACGTCAGCCTTCCCGCAGGTCTGAGTGAAGAAGGAGAAAACAACTCACTGATCACCTATATAGCGCTGCCACATAAATTACATACTTCATGAACAGTTATCCAGTTATCGGTAAACGACGCATCGTGAATAATAGTAATAATGTCCGAGACGTCACCCGAACCGCGAGCTAGTCGCTTCAAGGCTTTACGTATACATAACTGTCGCGAACGGGAAGTTCTCTCGGACAGCAATATGCACTCGTTGGGTGCTCAATGTACCATCAGCCGGAGGAAATAAAAATACCAGTGTAAAAAGCGTCGACGCGCCCGTATCGGATCTCGCGAGAGGAGGGGGAGACCCGCAAAGAAAGAACCAGGGAGGTGTAGAAAGCGAGAGAGCGCTCGGATATATATATATATATATATATAAGCTCCTCATCCTCTTTACGTTACACCGATGTATCATCATTAACATCATCATTATCATCGCCCTCTCACTTTCTTTCCTTCGAAACTCCATCGCTGTTACTCGGCCATGTACAAGACGTAAGAGAGAGAGAGAGAGAGAGTAAATCGCGAGACTTCCTGCACCGAGAAGCTATCGATACGCCGTTCTTTCACTTTGATCTCTATTGATCTTTCCCCATCTGTCAAAGAGATGTATCGCGATGTATCCCACGTTTCTCTCCTTCCACCACTACTTTCCTCCGTCCTCCTCTTTATTTTTTACTCTTTTCTTTTATTCCTTTCGTTTACGCATCCGTCCGGCTTGCCCGTCGTTTCCTCGCTGATACCAACACCTCGGACTTTTCGAGGTGTTGAGAAAAGTTGCCGTTCGAAGCGAGCATCGAGCGGGCCTCAAAGATGACGGACGGATGGACAGCCGAAGTACGTAAGGGTCGAAGGAAGTTTGCAGAGCAACTCAGAGTTCAGGGGTATAGGGTGGGGATGTTGGATAAGTCGAGGATTATAGACGAGACACAGGGTTTCGTTGGATACTTTTTTTTTTTTTTTTTTTCTGAGAGAGAGAGAGAGATGGAATAGGGGTTGGGACGGGGTAGGGAGAGGCACAGTTTTTAGACGCAGACAAGGGGGCAGGACAATTTACACGGGACTTCCGGGTGATTACTGGGTCGATTCATCCGACACGCAGTAATTTTGGTTCCTTTCTCTACTTTATTTNAGAGCGCCAGCGTGCGTGCGTGCGTGCGAGCAGCGTGCGTGTGTGTGGGTGTGGATGTGTTTGTGTGGGCGTGTGTTTATGTGTGTCACAATATAAATGCGTGAGAGAGCCACAGGGATGAAACAAAAATAAGAGACACGTACAAATAGAAAGTAAAAAAATGTGTATGTGTGTTTGTCGGTCATTTCACGTTGTCCGTCCGTACGAGTTGATTGTAGGTGCTCGTGTTCGTGTGAATATATTATGTGTTGTGTGGGTATAATGAGAGAGTGAATCGAATGCAAATGTTTATTATCCAAGCCTGGCACTCGTCTCGAGCGATTTGCCGGAAAACTTGATGCGACAGAAGGTCCATAAGCTTTTTTTTTTTTTTTTCTTCTTTAGTATATGTTTATTGTTCATCCCATCGTTTGAACTTGGCATGTGTGTCTTTTTTTTTTTTTTTTTTTTTCTTTTTACTGCTTTGATACAAACTTAAAGATCTACACTGCTTTTTAAAGCAAACTAAAACCGAGTATAACGTACTTGTTACGTGACTTTTAAAATCTTTATTTTGAGGATCACTGCTTTTTCTTTTCTTTTATCGTTCGACTAATTGGTGGAAAGTACAGATGATATTCTCGTGGATTGAATTGCCGACGTTGAAAATATAAATAA